AGAAGTTGGAACTCCAGGCAAGTCCTTGGCTCTTGTGGGAGCTGTGGTCTGTTGCTTCCATTAGACTAAGGGCTCTTCAGAAGGCAGACATGTGTTGTGGAATATTATTTTTAAATGTGTTACATTCGTTTATGCTGTGGAATATTTGTTTAATGATGCAAAGATGTGTTGCTTTTTTTTTTTTCTCGAGACAGGATTTCTCTGTGTAGCTTTGTGCCTTTCCTGGAACTCTCTCTGTAGCCCAGGCTGGCCTCGAACTCACAGAGATCTGTCTGCCTCTGCCTCCCTAGTGCTGGGATTAAAGGCGTGCGCCACCACCGCGTGGCTGTGTTGCATTTGTTTAACTCTGTGAAGCTGTGCTTCTTTGCCTGCCTAAAACATGTGATTGGTCTAATAAAGAGCTGAACGGCCAATAGCTAGGCAGGAGAGGATAAGAGAGAAAGAGAAGAGAGAGGCGTGAGAAAAGGAGGAGAGGAGGACACCAGGGGCCAGCCACACAGCCAGCCATGGAGTGAGAAGGAAAGAAAGAGATATAGAATAAAGAAAGGTAAAAGCTCAGAGGCATAAGGTAGATAATTTAAGTTAGAAAAGCTGGCTAGAAACAAGCCAAGCTAAGGCCAGGCATTCATAAGTAAGAATAAGCCTCTGTGTATTTATTTGGGAGCCAGGTGGTGGGTCCCCAAGGAGTAAGAGTAAAACAAAACAAAACAAAAAACTACAGGCATGTCTTCTAACGGGCTAGGCATCCCCAAAGGTAAGATTATCAATCTTCCTTGCTAAGAATGGCTATGGTATCTGTGATCCTTGGTGTGTCCCCTCAGACAAGTGTCTTCTGTAATCAGCTTTGGGGCTTTTCTATCATGGGGGGTCAATGGATTTGAGTCCATCTTGTTGAAGTTTGGGCTCCTGAGGACAATGCTGGAATCTTCCATAGTTTGGGCCCTTGTCCTCCGACAAGGAGTAGAATTCTTTAATTTTCTGCTTTCCCAGGCCTGGCTCTTCCTGAGGGGCTCAGCTTCAGGAGGGCCCAGTGTTGGCTGAACTGAGTCCGCTTGGGTGTGAGTATTTCTGTTGACCTTGGGGTTGGGCTCCACCCACGGAGGTAGCTTCCTGGCCTCAGGTGCCCCGCCTGTTCAACAGAGAACAGAGCCGGCAGGCAAGCTTCCCCGAATTCTTGTCCTACTGACATCCCTGAACAACGGGGATTGGAGGGCAGAACGAAGTGAGTCACCCATTTGGGTCTGGGCCTGACTTGGGCTTACTCCTCCCTCATTCTCTACCCTGCTTCCTGAGCTCTGAGGAATCCTCAAGAAACATGCTCTCAAGGAAATGGGCTCTCAGCGGCCTCCCTAACCGCAGCTCTGTCACCTCTTGGGCCAGCATCCTCACCACGGCTCAGGTAAGAAGCAAATGGTCTGAATGAGATTCAGGTGTGTCTGTGTGTCTGGCCCAAAGACCCACTTGGGCTTTGGATGGGTCTTCAGAGCTAGGTTATGTCTAATTTACCCTCACTAGCCCCCCTGATGGACACACACACACACACACACACACACACACACACACACACACACCCCACATCCTCTCAGTCCTCAGATCTTTAGCAATGAACAGATGTTGCTTGAGTTTTCCTGACTGGCCCACAGTCAGTACAAATTTCTGACACCTGCCAGTCTCACAGCCACTCAAACCCGACCAAGTAAACACAGAGACTTATATTGCTTACAAACTGTATGGCCGTGGCAGGCTTCTTCCTAACTGTTCTTACAGCTTAAATTAACCCATTTTTATTAATCTATACCTTGCCACATGGCTCATGGCTTACCAGCATCTTTACATGTTGTTTCTCATCATGGCGGCTGGCAGTGTCTCTCTCACCCAGCTTCCTGTTCTCTCAATTCTCCTCCTTGTCCCACCTATACTTCCTGCCTGGCCACGGACCAATCAGTGATTTATTCATTGACCAATCAGCAACACATTTGACATACAGACCATCCCACAGCAAACAGACAACTTTCTTTCATACACATCATACAAAATGCAGCCTCAGCTGTGTGTGGGCCCCAGTCTGTAGTTGATAGAGGCAGGAGGATCAGGAGCTCAAGGTCATCCCCAGCTCTGTAGCAGTTATGAGGTCACTGAGCTACATGAGACCCTATTTTAAAAAAAAAAAATCAGGGCCGGAGAGATGGGTGGTTCAGTGGTTAGGAGCAAATACTGCTCTTGAAGAAGACCTGAGTTCAGTTCCCAGCCCCCATGTCAGATGGCTGGCAACTCCAGCTCCAAGGGGATCTGATGCTCTCTTCTAGCCTTTGAAGGCACCTGTGCACACACACAGACACATGTATATACACAATTAAAAAATAAAATCTAGGGATTGGGGGTTTAGCTCAGTGGTAGAGCGCTTGCCTAGCAAGTGCAAGGCCCTGGGTTTGGTCCTCAGCTCCAGAAAAAAATAAATAAATAAAATCTTAGCTAGGCAGTGGTGGTACACACCTTTAATCTCAGCACTCAGAGGCAGAGGCAGGTGGATCTCTCTGAGTTCAAGCCCAGCCTGATCTATAGAGAGAGTTCAGGACAGCCAGGGCTACACAGAGAAACTCTGTCTTGAAAAACCAAAAATAAATAAATAAAAAGTAAATTAAAACCCTGCGCTGGAGAGATGGCTCAGCCTTAAGAGCATGTGCTGTTCCTGCAGAGGACCTGAGTTCAATTTCCAGCACCCATGTCAGGTGACTCACAAACACTTATAACTGCAGGGGATCTGATACCCCTACACACACACACACACACACACACACACACACACACACACACACACACACACACAGAGTATACACACACAAAACATATCACTTAAAATAAATAGAATTTAAAAATAGCCAGGCAGTGATAATGCACGCTTTTAATCTCAGCACTTAGGAGGCAGAGGTGTGCTGATCTCTGTGAGTTTGAGGCTAGCCTGGTCTAGAGAACTAATTCCAGGACAGCCAGAGCTACCTACACAGAGAAACCCTGTCTCGAAACAACAACAACAACCCCCACACAAAAAACCAAAAACTTAAAAAAACATAACATCCCCCTACATCCCCACATACACACAACACACCCTCACCATGCACAGATAGATCTCATAACCACTCACTAGATACAACACACAAATTGTCATCAACTGGCACAATATCTCTGCTGATTATTTGCCGGATGAAACACACATCTGAATGCTTTGTATTAAGATTTGATACCTTAGGGAGAAACTTACCATACCTCCTGGCTTGTGTATGTTCATTCTTGAGGAAGTCGCTGGCTATTCTTGGATCTTTGCTTTTTCATTTGGGATTTAAACAGTCAGCTTGTGAAGTTCCTTGGAAAATTCTCTTGGGATATGAATGTGCATGCACGCACACACACAGACACACCACTCATGTACATGTGTGTGCTCGTGTGCAAACCCATGCACACACATACAGAAGCCAAAGAAGGATGTTAAGTGTCTTCCTCTATCACTCTCCAACTTATTTTTTTATTTTTTATTTTTTGGTTTTTCGAGGCAGGGTTTCTCTGTGTAGCTTTGTGCCTTTTCCTGGAACTCACTTGGTAGCCCAGGCTGGCCTCGAACTCACAGAGATCCGCCTGCCTCTGCCTCCCGAGTGCTGGAATTAAAGGCGTGGGCCACCACCGCCCAGCTCCAACTTATTTTTATTTTATTTCAAGACAGGTTTTCTCTGTGCCGTCCTGGCTGTCCTGGAACTCTCTTTGTAAACCAGGTTGGCCTCGAACTCACAGAGATCTGCCTGGCTCTGCCTCCCGAGTGCTGGGATTAAAGTCATACAGCTGGGTAAATAGTTTTGAACTCAGTATGTAGCCAAGAAAGACTCTGAACCCCTGATCGTCCTGTCTCCACCTTTCAAGTGCTGGGATTATACATGTGAGCCACATACCCAATTGTGTTAGTGCTTTGGGGCTGAAGCACATGTTAACAAGGCCTTGGCCTGTAAGGAGTCATTTTAGCATTGATGAGGAATATCCCTGAGATCTGAACAGCAGCCAGGGGCTAGCCCAGCTACTCTGGAACTGGGGTTGGGCAGTGTGTGGAGAAGCCCTGCCCTCTTGGCTCTGTTTTGCCATGTGTCACTGTAAGACAGACCCTGGTCCTTTCTGGGATTCAGTTTCTCACAGTGTACAGGAAGGTGTTGGATCCCCTGGTACCTGAGGGGCTTGTGTCCTTAGTGTCTGTCACAGGACCTAGTGCCAACTGCTCAGTGTATGCGGGTTAGCTGGCTGAATTAATGAATGGTAAGCAGAGGGAAGCCAAAGCGAGGTGCTCCAGCATCTCGCTCGTTTGTGTACTTGGAAGCCCTCACCCAACTCACAATCTCACACAGACTCACTGGTGTTCGACCCCAGCTGCCCACACCTCTTCCCCCTCACTCCCTTGAACTCACTTGCAGCTAGCCTCTGGCTCAGGGGCTTGAGAAGTTTCCCCCTTCCTCCAGCCCTGTGGCTCTGTCCATGTTCCCACGGGTTTCTTGGGCCCAATGCTTCTTGGTTACCGGGATGCCCTGCCCAGTCTTAATGAGCAGGGCTGTACTTCCAGCTCTGTCGTCATCCTTTTCCTAGTCTAGCAGCCTCGCCCTTTCTCTCTTCTCTACAGAGGTACACACACTCGTACCTTCATCCACGCACACTCGGTACACACTCTGTCTATAGCTCATCCTTTTCTCTCGTCATCCCTTGGTCTCGTCTCTGTCCCATCTCATTCCTCTCATGCATTTCTGTTGACATCAGTTATTCTTCCTCCCTATATCTCTCCCTCCTGCCCTCTCCGTTCCCTCCGGACTCACTCTCACCCTCCTCCTTGTGCTAACTGGTTATTTTTGTCACCTCTCTCTCTCTCTCTCTCTCTCTCTCTCTCCCTCCCCCCCTCTCCCCTTCCCTCCCTCCCTCCCCTCCCCACACTCTGGCCCAGTGGCTACTGCGTACACCCACTCTGCCCCTTGCTCGCTCTGCAGGAAGTCTCTTCAGTACTCTGGTCTGGCTGGCTCAGCTTGGAGGTTCCTGTGGCATCCGTTGGAGGGGCCCCGGGTCACTCTGTTTCCTCCCGGGGGTGACTTGGCAGCGACAGGCTCTCTGTTTCCTCACTTCTGCAATTGCCAGGCTACAACAGAGGCTAGCGCTGGGGCTCAGACCCGGAGGGACACGCGGAGTCTACGGGTGAATAGTACAGGTAAGGAAGGTCCCAGTCCTGGCTAGGCCAGGGAGAACCCTACACAGATGTCCTCAGGAGGCCAAAGTCACAGGCCATACTGAAGCGGGCGGGTGGCTGGATTTTTAAAGACCCATTCTGGCATCTTTCTCAGGCCAAGCTTCATGTTTAAAAAGAGCTTTTCTGCTGTGCAACAGGTCAGACCCAGGACCTTACATGCTTGGGCAGTGCTCTACCACTGAGCTCTGTTGTTAGCCCTCTTTTATTTTTATTACTGTTTATTTGCTTATTGTGTTTGTGTGTGTGTCACAGTGCACAGTGTGTGTCGGTCAGAGGACAGCTTGTGGCAGTCAGTTCTCTTCTTCCCCCATCTATGTCCTGGAGATTGACTTTAGTCTTCAGGCTTAGCAGCAGGTGCCTTTACACCGAGTTATCTCATCAACGTCTACTTTCTACATCATGGTCTTGCAAACGGCTGAGGCTGGCCTTGGACTCACTGTGTAGCACGGGCAGGCAAGTCTTGGATTTTCTTTTCCCTTTTTAAAGATTTATTTTATGTGTATGAGCATTTAGCCTGCACGTGTGTGTGCTCACCATGTGTGTGCCTGGTGCCTTGGAGTTCAGAAGAAGGGGATCAGAACTGGAGTTAGAGTTGGTTGTGAGCCACCGTGCAGGTGCTGGTAACAGAACCTGGGTCTTCTCCAAGGGCAGTCAGTGCTCTAACCCCTGAGCCATCTCTCCAGTCCCAAGCTTTGGCTTTCAACCCTTTTGCAGCCTTCTGAGCTGTTGGCATGTCTGGCCTGTCATCAGGTCTGACGTAGGAAGAATTTCTTGGGACCTTGTCTTTTCTGAGACTAAGCTGGAGCCAGTGTGTCCTTATTCACCGGGAGGTAATGGCAGGGATGGGGTGCAGCTACTTAGAGCTCCCTGAGCAGAATGTCATTTGTTTAACTCCCTGTGTGACCTGGGCGAAGTTGTTCACCCTCTCTGTGCCATCCTCCCGGCGGTCTTTCCAGGGGAGGGTGAGCAAAAGGGTCTGGGACAAGGTTGAGTACTTGGGGACCTCACTCACTGCTACATTTCCCCAGAGGATGAGGAAGAGAACTGGGTCACTGGTACAAAGGACTAGACCCGCAAACAGTGGCCATGTTAAGTCTCAGGTGTTGGGGACAGAGCCCAGTGTGGTACTGGCCATCCCTCACGGGCAGGAAGTGTCGGGGTGAGGTTGACAGACCAGAGCTGCTGGGTGGGTCTTGTTCACTAATGAGGGATAAAGGACCCGGAGCTCTGCTCTAGATAGCCAAGTCCCAAAGAGTATGCTGGGGGTGTTGGAGGAGTGTCTGCCAGAGAAGAGGGAATCCCTTCCTCTGGGTACCCAGGCAGAGAAAGGAGGTGACTGGCCTGGCCTTTCTGGGGCTTAAGTTTTGCTTATACACTGGGGCTTTTTTTTGGGCAATTGAGTGGCTTCACTTTTCTCCTTAGTGATTTAAAATTCTGACCTTGTAGGTTTGTAAAGAGGTGGACAAAGAAGGCAGGTGGACGTGCTTTACCGACCATAGGGCAGTATGAACACGGTGTCACCGCCAGTGCTGATACCAGAGATAGTACCGCGAATGCCTCAAGAGGAGCGATGTGTTTGTTCATGTGTCTTCTCACCCTTAGGGTTTGGCATAACCTGTGCTCAGGGAAAGCACTGAGCTGGGTATGGTGAGCACATCTCTGATACCAGCACTCCGGAGGCAGAGGCAGTAGGATCAGGAGTTCAAGGCTAGCCTTAGCTACATAGCAAGTTGAAGGCCAGCCTGGGCTACATGAGACTCCCAACACCTCCCCTCCCAAAATCACATGTACTAAGTAGATGAAAAAATAGTACCATCAAAACTGTGCTTGTTTGGGATGGACAGTGAGCCACAGGCCAGCTGTGCCCTTACATCAGTCACCTTGGGTCACTCCATCTGATCAGGCATGGCTTGGGAAAAGGATTCACAGTCCCCGGCAGTGATGACCAAATGTGGCTCATGGATGAGTTTCCCCTCCTGATTATTGAGATGTGACGAACCCCTGGCATGGCATCTGTTTTATTTTATTTTTTTTAATTAATTTTTATTTATCTTTGACAATTTCCCCTCCCTCTACTCCTCCCAGTTCCTCCCCATATTTTTATCTTTTTATGGGAATTAAAGACCTCCCCTCTCCTGGCCTGCAGACAAGGTCTTGTTGAAGGCCATTAACCCCATCCTTTTCTATATGGGGCCCCTCGGTGGATAGAGCTTGGGCCCAGGATGGGAGGAAAGCTACGCTAGAGTCTGGGAGCCCTGCTGGGTGGGCTCTGCAGACAGGAGCTGAACCAGCTCCTAAAAGCAGGTGTTAGGTCCCCAGCACAGCTGCTCTGAGCAACCACTTTTTTGAATGACGAGGGTGGGAGAAGCCTCTAATGACCCCCTTTGGAGGGTTGAATGACCCTTTCACAGGGGTCACCTAAGACCATCGGAAAACACAGGTATTTACATTTCAATTCATAACAGTAGAAAATTTGCAGTTATGAAGTAGCAATGAAAATAATTTTATGGTTGGGGGGCCAGTTACCACATCAGGAGGGACTGTATTACAGGGTCACAGCATTAGGAAGGCTGAGACCACTGAGCTAGTGTGTGTATTTGTGGGTGGGTGTTCAGCTCTATGGTGGGATCTTTCATCAGTTTTGGAGAAGACTTCAGCTGGCTGATCTAGGAAATATGTCAGTAATTTGTGCGAAGCCCTTTCCAGCTCATAAAGCCCGTTTCCATTTACCAAGTGTGTTAACTGTCTTCCAAACATCTCGCCTTCCACCTCCTGTGACCTCATTCCCCCTTTACAATCCTGCTTTGAGGCTGGCAGGACACCCCAGTTTACAGATAAAAAATCCCGAGACTCCAAATGGGGGAGCGATTCTCTCAGGGTGGTAGTGGGTAGCACCACTGAGCCCAGAGTCCTGCTTCCTTGACTGCAACGACTTTCCCTCTGGCCACTGTGGAGGCTTCTTGACTGGTGGGGGGCCCTGTTACTGCTTGTTACTAGGGAGAGCCCCACGGGGACAGTGAGGGGAGCAGCACCTTGGCCATTAAAACTGCCATCCCCAGTCTGAACCTTGAAAATACTGACAGCGTCTTTCCCGGCCAATCTGACATGGCTTGCTTGCAAAAAGGCCAAAGCCTGCCGACCACATGCTCCCAGCTGTTGACCATGAGATTACCACAGGCCCTCAGACACGGAAGCAGGGGGCTCCAGACAGTTAGTCTGGACGCCATGTTGGCACTCCAGACAACCTTGGGATCTTTGTGATGATAAAGAAATCCCACCCTGTCTCGAAAAACCAAAAAAAAAAAAAAAAGAAAAAAAAAGAAATCCCTACCAGTTGCCATGACAGAGCGGGGCCATGTCCAAAACAGAGAAGAAGGGATTCCAGGGTTCCTGGAAATCTCCTTCCTGGAAGGTTTTGAAGGCTGCAGATGCCCACCCATCCAGTGAACACTCAGGCTCCAAGTCTGCTGGGAGAGACAGTCCCTTTAGAGTGTGAATGTCCCTTCCCCACTGACCATTGCATACAAATTCCTTTCTGCTCCTAGAACAATCTAGTAATTTGTGAATGGTATTGTGTGGAGGAAAAGAGTCTGTCAGTTTGGTAACAACACCCTATAGGAAGATTTTGATTTAGTTTATTTGTGTTTATACTTTATTTATTTATTTATTTATTTATTTACTTTGAGACAAGGTCTTGTGCAATCTAGGCTGGCCTCCGACTTGCTATGTAGATCAGGCTGGGACTTGAACTCTTGATCTTCCTGCCTCCATTCAAAGTGCTGGGGTTATAGGTGTGCGCCACCACCGCCCGCCTCATAGACACGTTTTAATTCACATCATGTGGCATATGAAGAAAAGAAATTTAGCCAGGCATGGTAGGCCACATCTGAAATCTCACCACTTTGGAGGCTGAGGCAGGAGGATTGCTGTGAGTTTGAGGCCAGCCTGAGATATAGAGGGAGACCCTATCACGGTGAATACATAAACAAACAAACAGGAAAAAAAAAAAAGAGGAAAGAAAAGCAAAAGGGAAGTTGGGGGTGAGAGCTCAGCTGAGCCAAAGGTTTATCTTGCATGCATGAGAACCTGGTGCATGGTCTTCATGTAGAAAAGCCAGTCATGGGGCACATGCTTATAATCCCAGTGCTGGAGAGAGCCACAACTGATTTTGAGGCTCGCTGGTGAGTTGGCCTAGCCTAGTCAGTGAGAGACCCTGTCTCAAAAGACAAGTCAGACTGAACCTGAGGAACAACACCCAGAGCAGCTGACCTCTCTCTCTCTCTCTCTCTCTCTCTCTCTCTCTCTCTCTCTCTCTCTCTCTCACACACACACACACACACACACACACACACACACACACACACACACATACACACACACACACACACACTTAAAAAAAAAAAGATTTATTTATTTATTATGTATACAATGTTCTGCCTGCATGTATGCCTGCAGGTCAGAAGAGGGCACCAGATCTCTTTACAGATGGTTGTGAGCCACCATGTGGGTGCTGGGAATTGAATTCAGGACCTCTGGAAGAGCAGCCAGTGCTCTTAACCTCTGAACCATCTCTCCAGCCCCCCAGTTCCCACACTTTCATATACACATGCACAGTCATACCTGAAACAAGGTAGGGTCCCCAGCAAACAGGAGAATTGGCTAATTCTAGCCCTAGCCCTGGGACTCTGTCCTTAAGAAAGATCTTTGTCAGATTTGACTGAGGAAGACCCCCTGAAATCCTGACTACAGACATGGATAAATAAACCTAAAGTAACTGCAAGATACATGACATATATTTTACCTGCTCAGATATTAAAAAAAAATCTTGCCGGGTGGTGGTGGCGCACGCCTTTAATCCCAGCACTCGGGAGGCAGAGCGAGGCGGATCTCTGTGAGTTCGAGGCCAGCCTGGTCTCCAAAGCGAGTTCCAGGAAAGGCGCAAAGCTACACAGAGAAACCCT